CGTCTGCCGCAGTTCGAGGATCGAGGCAAACTACGATATATTGCAGCTATTGTTGAAGAAGTCCACCGGTGGGCCTCTGTAGCGCCTCTTGCGTTCTACCACGCCACCAGCGAGTCCGACAGCTACAGGGGCAAGACAATACCCGCAAAGACAACGGTGATCTACAATTCGTACGCCATCCATCACGACAGCCAGTTCTATCGAGACCACGAAAAGTTTATCCCTGAGCGATTCTTGCCGGAGAAAGATCCTCGATACCTCCCTCAGTTCGCACACGCCCCCATGCACTATGGGTTCGGCGTAGGAAGGAGAGAATGCCCTGGAAAGCATGTCGCTGATGCATCTCTCTTCATCGTCATCAGCCGGCTTTTGTGGGCGTTCAATATCGATCTGGGATCCAACCCTCCTCCAGGAGACGGTATCGGTAAGTCGCCGCTCTGTCAAGTTAAACCTAGTTGCTGTGTTCCAAGCAAAGGCACCGAAAACTGACGAGCAATGCTTTGTATAGTGGGAAGCATGCCGATCTGGAGGCCTGCCAAATTTACATGCAACATTACCCCAAGAAGCAAGAAAGTTGCGGACAAGATCCTCGCTGAGGCCGCAGTCCAGGATCTCGCGTTGCAAGTCGAAGATGCTGCGCAGTACGAAGATGCAATTAAGAGGGTTGTGGCGAAGCGCAGAGCTGGGGAATAATGCCCTAATTCATGAGGATGGCCCAGCACTAACGGATGCCGAGGTTGAGCGGGGTGGAATTATCAGGGAACAGAGACAGAGCCATGTTTGGTTTCGCTTGGAAGGGGATGGTTGTAAGGGACAGCCTGCCAGATTTGACGGGCCGCAAAGGGTAATCTTCAAGGTAACAAACCAGCTAACGCCTCACACAGAGCATAGTGTTATGTATTCCTCACTCCACTATTCAATCGCTTCAATGAATCTCTTGCGCAGGCGCCACCACTCTTGATAGTGTGGCCCGCATGACCCAAGCAGTCGATGACAAAAACTGTGGAATGCCACTTAACTAAGTCGGACTAACCAGGGCTCCCAGTCTTGCCAACTTTTGGGTGCTGAATCAAGAACAGGTCAAGTTCGCGCCTGAACCTGCTTCGGTGTGTCCTATTAGTAGCTGGACGAAGTAGGAAGACAAATGCCCTCAGGAAAGCAGCCATCAACACTAATTACTCTCATCTGCTGTCATCTCCGACCACATGTCGGCTTCCTGCTCGCGCTCTGAAGACCACTCATATCTGAACTCGACGTACACAGCCACCTTTACGATATATCGGTATTCCCCCTTGGAGAGTGCCACCCCAGCTCTGCTAACCATCTCACGTCTGGCATATTTCATCAAGCTTTGTCCAAGACGGCGACCAAGCCTCTCTTAAGCCTTGGCGGCGACGTGGCAACCAAGCCACACATCAGTGCTATGAGATTGCACACGGCCATTCAAGTCGCTCGCCAAGTTTTAGCCTGGGAACTTGGCGTCTCGTCCTGTACTATCAAAGCGTTATGGTCTATTTCTAGTCTTGCGAGCCTCGTCACAACCTTGTATCTACCTGCAACTGACGTACCGGAATGCGTCCTCGACATATTAGTCTTTGTTTTGACCCCCAATTGCAAGCGAACTGGTTTCTTGTAGCTGCTAGTTTAGGGCTAGACTTAATGCTACCCCGTACTCGTATGTTCTGCGTATTCTAACATGGCCCACTATGGACCCACTCTGTACTTCTAGCAGTAAATATACCGGAGCTCGCCCGGAATATGTGCAATTGTGAACCTAAGCAGACACTAGAGTGTCACCCAGCTTTTACATTACTCTTGGGTAGGACGATTCCGTTGTGATATGAGTGTGTTGCTTTTGTACGTGATTGACATGTGGTTTGCAGTATCCTCACGACCACCGCATTCTAGGCTAACAGAACCTTGTGTGAAAATGAATCTCAGAAGGCATCATTCTACTGGTCCGTGGCCGTGAAGCTTCACGAGCTTTCGGAAACGTTGGCATTTTGACTTGTACTGCCTCAAGTTTACCTTGGGACGACTTCCTTCGATGCCAAGTGTGGCAACCCGGAGACCTCCCGACGACATCCAGCACTTACGCAGCTTTCGGGCTTTGAGCACTTAATATAGCATCGAAGTGAGCCATGCAGCTATGTCCAAGGCAACGACTGGCTGATTGGAATGTGGACGTCAGATATACTGGTTTTGGGGCTTTTGTGGGAAGTCCGACGTGCGAAACTTTGTCTCCTGTCCTCTCCGACCGGGGGAGATGGTAACAGTATATATTGATGTGTTATATCTGATGCAAACCTTTCAATTCCCACAGCTCACCTCTGAATAATCTCAAGATGAAGGCTTCGTATTTTTGGTCAAATTTTCTGATCGCGTTGTCCGTGAGCGGAACGATCGCTGTCGATGATGTTGGAGGTCAACCAGGAACTATCCCAGCAGAGTTTCCTCCATTCCTTGGAGGTAACTCTCCATGGTTTCCAGGTAATTCTTGCAATACAACAAACACAACAACTTCCAAGTCTCTGACTCGAATTTTCTATTGCAGGTCCAAACGTAACTGAAATTCCATACGAAATCCCTGAGGGATGCACCGTCGACATGGCCTCGGTAACCAGCCGCCACGGTTCTCGTTATCCTGACCCCGCCGTATACAAACAATGGCTGGGCCTTCAATCTAAAATCCAGAACTCTTCTGCCACAGGCCAGGGTGCACTCTCTTTCATCTCTACCTGGAACCCCGCTCTACAAAATCCAAGCAAAGTCCTCACTCAGCTGTCCGTTGGCGGTTACAAGGAGTTGTACGATATGGGCGTCACATACCGTTGGAGATACCCTGGCCTTTATACCGACAACGCGCGCTTTATTCTATGGGCGAATGCGTTTTTCCCGACCTCGCCAAGAGTGATCGACTCCGCAAAGCTCTTTGCTCGTGGATTCATAGGCCCCAACGCAACAGCACTTGGAACGGTGTACGTATTGAACAATACAGATCCCCGAGGTCTTGCAAACTCACTGGGCGTGTCCGATTTATGTCCCGCCTACAACGATACCATGGGCGGACCAGCAGCCACCACGTGGGCGAACATCTACCTTCCGCCTATTGTGGCGCGGATTAACGCCCTCACGACACCCAAGGGAGCCGTCAACTTCAATACCACGGACGTGGCCATGTTTCCCCCACTATGTGGCTTCGAGAGCGAAATGACCGGCAAAAGGAGTCCATGGTGCGACGTCTTCACTGAAGAAGAACTCCAAGCTTACGAATATTCTCAAGACCTTCGGTTCTACTACGGCCACGGGCCGGGGTCTCTCAAAAACAGTACCTTCATGCTTCCTTTCCTCTCAGCCCTAGTCTCCCGCTTCGTTGATGGACCAAACAAAACGTACACTTCCAGCGACGGCACAGCATTCACTCCTCCGCCCTTTATCGCAACCTTCACCAACGACGCTCAGATCAATCAGCTTGTCAGTCAAATCGGCGTCTTCGACGGCCAAACACCCCTTCCACCGAACCGGATCCCTGATAACCAGAGATACATCTCGTCCCGGTACGTAACGATGCGCGGAACCATTGGCTTTGAGCGACTCACCTGCACCGGAAATGGGAAGCGCGGCCAGGCATCGGGCCAGTTTCTCCGCATTATCCTCAACGACGTCGTATACCCCGTCGTGGGCTGCGACTCGGGACCTGGCCGCTCATGCCCATTGCCCGAGTACGCGCAGCTCGTGGCGCAGAAGCAATCCCAGGCAGGAGGTTTTGTGGATGCTTGTTTTGGAGCCAACCAAACCGCTGCGAAGTTGGCGTTGGCAAAGGCGGGCATCACCGGTATTCCAAAGACGACTTTCTTGTCGGACTTGGCTGTGCCCTTTGCATTCGCAGTCAAACCATGATAGAAAGACGGCATCGTCGGCAAGGGCGATGCCTCCGCGGGCTGGCTTGCCCAGGTTGGGTGTTGCTGAGTGAATGGCTTTGCAATACGTTGTGCTAACGGCACTTGAACTTTTCTGGTACAAAGGCAGACAACATCTACTGTGCGAATCAAGCAGTCAACCTGTAACGTATCTATGAAATGAATACATATTCATTGACTCCGATTCTCTGTCGTCTTCGAGATTTGCATTGTATGGCACTGGATCTTGTATGGCGACTATCTATTTCCACTATCTATTGATACCTCCTCCGCTTAGAACCACGTTCCTGCGCCTTTCTGTAATTGGATTAGTTGAGGCTAGTCCGTGTCTGGTGCGGTCACGACCAACTGTGATGTACCGAACTCTACAGCTGCTATCGATCGAGGATAAAATAATCCGTCTAGTCTGCTTCAAACATCAGCATTCAAGTGAGGTTTCAGGCAGCCATGCAATGCTGTTTCGAATTTATTCTGTCTGGGTGATATCTTCCAGAACATGAAGCTGATCGAATACAACGGGAGCCTTGCATATCTGACAGTGCTGACATGTGATTATGCTATCAACTTAGGGTCAAAGATTCGGTGCCCCATCCGAGGAGCTTCTAGGTGGCCACACTCCTTTCCTGAATCTATGCTAGTCTCTTCAAAGCAGTTTAGATTCAGAGCTTAGGCTCTACTCTTGATGCCTAAAGATACAGAGGACACACATGCACTGTTTATTCCATCTGACCAATATATAAGCCGCTTAGGCGAATGCGCAGGCGTGCTCCGTGATCCGTGATCGCTTAGGGTACTATATGGCAACACCCCTTGAAGCCCTCCTATAGGTTTTGTGCAACTGAGATGCTGTAATCGGACGCTTACGGGTTCTGACGGAAATATTTAGACCCTTCAAGGCAACTGTCAATGTAAAATATCGGCGCAGCGCAAGGTCTTGAAGTATCTGTATTTGGCCTGCATAGGTACATGATAGCTTTAGCTTCATGTGATTTTCTGGGTATTTTTGGTTCTTGGAGATACGAGCATCTGCTGGATGCCGCCCTACAGTAGCCGCCCGAACTCCTCATTATCAAACGAAGCATGGATTCTTCTCCAGGCGTTAAGGAGCCAGTTTCACATCTGCTTTATACTGTGTTGTATGCAGGTTACGTCCTCGGATTTTATGTGAGACACTCAGCCCGATACTAGAATCTATTGTGGTACACGATCAAGCAATGTTCCTTCTAACATCAAGTGACAAAGACACTCTCGCTGATCATCTATCGTGTGCGATTCCATCCGTTGGCGAAATACCCCGGGCCGTTCCTGGCCAAAGTTACGTCTTGGTATGATTTCTACTTCCTTGTCAAAGGCGACCGTCATATCGAAATTTGGCGACAGCACGAAATCTATGGTTCGTGCCGCTCATTCCAATCTGCCTACGTCCCTTCAATTCTGACGGCTATACCAGGGCCAGTCGTACGCTACAGACCAAATTCACTTTCGTTCAGCACACCGCGTGCCTTGCAGGATATATACGGACCTCGCAAATCAAATCTGATCAAATCTGACTGGTATAAGTTTAGCCACGCCGCAACAAATGGCCAGCCCAACACCCACAGCATTGTAGATCGAGAAGGGCATGCGGTCAAACGCCGCATGCTATCGCACGCCTTCTCCGACAGTGCGCTACGATCAATGGAGGAAAACATTCTGTATAATGTGCGGAGATGGTGTTCCTTGACAGCAGGCCTGAAAGATAAGAACGATGTCGACGGGTGGACGAAGCCCAGGAACATGGCCGCCTGGGCAAACTACTTGATCTTTGACATCATCACTCTACTCGCTTTTGGCAGGTCCTTCGATTTGGTTCCGCGAGAAGAGAATAGGTACGTGCTGCATCTGATGAATCAAATGATGGGATTTGTCTACACCGTAAGTAGCTCGACCTTCTGGGGCGTGGCCAAACTTTTCGGCAATTGGGGGGAATCCACTGACCCACATTGCATACCAGGCTGGTTATGCGCCCTTTTCAGCGCTAGCTCGACGCATTATTGCGATCCAATGGCTGAGCAGGCTTATCGGAGGCCAAACGGTTCGTGATCAACAAAGGATGGTGGCTTTTGCACAAGAAGCAATCAATCAGCGACTCAGGGAACACAAGAATCAGCAGAGCCCACTCGACAACGGTCCGGCTCAGAAAGATATCGTCTATTACCTTTTGCGAGCCAAAGACCTGCAAACGGGGACTTCCTTTTCCGAAACCGAGCTGAGTTCTGAAAGTGTGCTTCTGCTTCTCGCTGGTGGCGATACCACGGCAAGCGCTCTCTCAGGCTGTATTTTCTATCTTCTGCATAACCCACGCACTCTCCGCCGGCTAATTGACGAGGTGCGGTCGCAATTCGGCGATGCCGAAGAGATACACCCCTCGAATCCGGCCCTCGGTTCCTTGCCATATCTTCGAGCGTGCATCGACGAGACACTGAGGATGTCGCCGCCGACGTTGGGGCCACTCACCCGCAAGGTCTTGGATGGCGGCGCCATGATCGACGGCGAGATTTACCCTGCAGGGACAGAAGTGGCGGTGACTACTTACGTTCTTCAACACCGTGAAGAAAACTTCCCAGACCGCTTCTGCTTCCGCCCGGAGCGATGGATCGTGGACGAAAAGACGGGTGTTTCGCAAGACGACGTCCAGGCCGCACAGGAGGCTTTTGCGCCGTTCAGCATCGGTAGCAGGAACTGTATTGGGAAGAACCTGGCCTACATGGAATTGAATACGGCAATTGCAAGGCTGTTGTGGCAATATGATGTAAAAATCGTTGAGGCTGAGCCAACCGCAGAGGGAAGAGGAGATGGAGTTTGGGGGAGGAGAAGAAAGGGGGAATACCAAATGTCTGACTTCTTTATTGCCGAAAGAGATGGTCCTGTTGTCGCCTTCAAGCCGCGTTAGCCAGATTGAATCGTATTGGACAGGAACGTCGCGAGGGCCTACTAGTTTTCACCATGTTCCCTTCAAAAATCACAAAATTAGATTAGTGGTCGCTTTTTGTGGTCGATGTTCCTAGGGTCGGGTGTTCTTCGGACACACAACGGCGGCCACAGTCGATCAGTTACCTAGCAATGGCCTCTGGCGATCCCCTCAACAGGCCCGAGGCTTGCGAAGCCGACTTCAAGGTTACACTGCCAGGACTGTGAATTACTTGATCATACCCTAGGTGAAAAGGCGGCTATCCACCTCGCCAGGTCTGGGGCCTGTTGATGTCATTCCAAATGAGGCTAGTTTGAAATACGAGAGGCTTGGCTGAAGCCTCTCTAGCCTTCAATTGCCTCCACTAACTAGTTCCGTAAAATCTCCACATTATAACTTGCGACTTGGTGAGGGCAATAGGCGTATAATGTGCAACCTCCTTTGAGCTCCCCTTTACGTCATCTGGAATCCTCAGGTAAGCTTCCACGTCACCGTTACACTCCTCAGGTCTCAGAGTCTCTTAGATTTGGGCCTTGTCACCCGTGCCGCAAAAGCTATCCCAAAGAAATTCTAGAATGTGTCCGAACCTATGAATCATCGTTCGATTTCTGTCACCCAGGTGGTCCCGGTAATGGTTTACCCATTCGATGCTCTTACATTGGAGGTGGAAGTGATGGGTGAGTCTGTCAACTGCTTTCCTCCGTTCCAGATCAGCAGCGATGGCTGTTTCACAAAAGCATCAAACCGAGCATCATCGCTTAGGTAAACCGCGCCTAGATAATTTTCAAGTATCCCTAACCAGAGGCTGACCCTTTTTATGTTTTTGTCTCCTGAACTAATGGCGTGGAACGTCCAAAATCTTTCGTAAACAAGACAGCCAGGCAGAACCAAAAAGTTGGCTGACACATGCGCATTATATGGTATGATCTATCTGGATGCCCTACCTGAATCCCTGTCAGCGCTGCTTCATGGGCATTCATTTCCGACCCAGGATCCTTCAGGTCGCGCCACCACGTCCTTTTCATGTTCAGGTCACTTTTCGAGCCCTGATATGCCCCGTTGAAACTAATTTGGATTTTCGGCTAGAAGGCTTTGAGCAGCATGGGCGACCCCCAATTGCCCTTGACCAGCCTGTTACTATTTGCTCCCAACTTCTCGAACAACTTCCGCTATTTCCTCTTGCTGTTCTCGCTCAAGCTTGCGAAACTTGCGCACTACTTGCAGGGTAGCATAGTAGCTAAATGGCAGTGCGAAGAACCAGAGGCCGAAATTGATACTCGCCGTGGCGATCAATGCGGTCGGGACTGCCTGCACTCCAAACCCTACAGCAACTCCAGCTGTTTCAATTCCTCGAAGGAGAGAGCTGTACCGAATTTGGTCCCCGGGAGAGTCGGATAGATTGCTAATGCACCAGTAGATATAATTTTCGACCATTCCGAGACTGATGCGCTCGAACATGTACAGTCCAAAACCACGGCCGAAGGTATTTTGATCGCCCCAGTCCAACGTAGGGTTTGAATGACGGTATTCGTTCTGGATGATCACTGCCCAAATCCAAGTGGCGCTATTGAGCATGGCTATGAGGATGTAAGTCACGATGGCTCGCGTCTTTCGGTCGTTTGACCATGGCAGGTCGACAAGGGAACCGCAGAGCCAGGTAGCAAGCGTACCGACAACAGCCGACATGAAGCTCCCTAATGCACGAGACCTGACTGTGAAGTATGTTGCCAGATATGTGCCAGGATATGCTTGAATCCATCCAAAGTACCAGAACAAGGGCGTCAGCAAGAGGATCGACTTGCTCCTGACCAGACGCCACATCTGTGCGAGCTCGGTCTTCCAATCGATACCTCTAGCGGCTTGAATTTTGGTGCCATCGTCGCGCTGCACTTTCTCTGGATTCGAAAGCAGCAGGCCAAAGAAGAATCCAAGGCACTGAATAGCGATGAAGGCTTGATAGGTCTTGTAGCCAACTTTGCCACGATGATTGGTAGTGTGATTGATCGCAAGTGAAATGGCGCCACCAATGATGTTCCCAAAATTCCGGAAAGTAAACCATGTCGCAATGTAACGGCCTCGTTTGTGATGTTCTGGGTACCCGGTGGCAATGGCGCCTTCGACACTCCAAAAGAAGCCAGCACTGATCCCGCAGGTCACAGCACCGAGATACACCATCCAAGTTGCGCCTGTGCGATTGTTGAGATATAGTCCCGCTGCGTACAGGGGATACCCCAACGAGCCAACAGCGAGCGTCCACCTGAAGCCGATGGCGTTGGTTAACCATGGTCCAGCAAAACAAGTCACAGTCATCAGGGCGTAGAGAAGTGCATTGGCGGTGTTTACGAGGTTAGGGCTCTGAGAACCCCCAACCCCAAGGCCGTTCATAGCGCTCCAGATTCCTGGGGCGCAAAAGGCGCATAGGCCGACAACTAGGATCTGGAACAGGGTTCGGCGGAAGAAGGAAGATCGAATGCGTGAAGAGACATCACCATCTATTGGCCCTGAGGGTAGAGATGGACTGTTCTGAAACTCTTTATCCGAGGACAGAACGGACTTCTCATTGACCGGTGCTGTTGCCATATTGACCACAAAGCGTGGATATGTATTGCAAAGCCAGTGGAAAAGAGAGTTCTTGATTCCTGAATTCCTGTTTTGAGATTGAATGCCAACTGTGTTGGACTATAGAACGTACTTTATCATGTCTATGGCCAGAAGACGGCTCATGCCACGGCACATCTGCGAAGGTGAAATCTAAAGAGATTAGGGCAAAGAACATCCTTCGCCATTCTTTGGGGCAATCACGCAAAGAAGGCGAGGGGTGACACTATAGTGAGCCAGTGCTTGTTTGTATTGCCGACAGTTGTCAACGCCAAATGCGAGTTTTGGCTGGAAGCCGAGAGGACTGATTTCGAAAATGTCTGGCTCCACTACATCGCTAAATTTGTGAATACAACAATTGCACATCGGCTCCGAGACGCTGCTAATGGAAGTGGGAAGGGGAGCATAGTGTTTACAGGAGGACATGACACAGACGCCCGTCGCATTCGTGATCTTAGAACGGATGACGCCACGGCGACGACGGGTTGTTACAATGCCCAACGGAGAAGTCCACTGGCATCGAGTCGCCTCCCTTTTATAGCGACCTATTTCCATCCAACAATCACACTACTCCACGGACAAGACCTTCCCAACTCTCTGTATCTAACGACTTTGGAATCAGCAGAGGCAAGATGACGACCGCGGTGCAACCATCCGAAGCGCATCCATTCAAAATCGACGCGCCTTTGTCAGCGTCAACGCCAGTTGCGTTTGAGCCTTTTGATCTGCCGTCGAGCAATCAGCGAGTTCTTGGGCCGCCTCATCCCAAGGACACGGTCATCCCATTAGCGTTGAAGCCCGCAATTGGCGATAGTGCAGAGATTGACCTGGATAGCGTCGTCGACACCATCAAATCTCTCCAAGCGCAAGGCGGGATACTAACCAAGACACTCGCCCGCCACGGAACACTGCTTTTCCGCGGCCTTCCCATCCACAATGCTCAAGATTTTAGCAAGTTCGCCCATGCTTTTGGATACCAGCCGCACGAGATCATTGGAATCGTCGTCAACAGGCCAGTTCTGGCCCCAAACGTGGCACCGGCGAACGAGGCGCCAAAGGAAGTTCTAATTTACAACCACAACGAGTCTCCACAAGTCCCCCACGCTCCTGAGTATATCTTCTTTTATGGCCATCGAGTCCCCGAAAAAGGGGGCGAAACTCCCATCTCGTCATCTCTGGAGCTGTTTTACCGAGCGCAGCAGGAAATTCCGGAGTTCGTCTCTGAACTTGCTGAGAAAGGAATCCTCAGCAAAGTGACTTACAAAGTTGAAAAGCAGTATGAAGGCGGTTCAACGCTGAAGCAGGCGTTTGGGAAGAAGATCCTGGATGGTGATGACGAGGCCACAAGGCGGGCAAAGATCGAGGCTCAAATCTCCCGGTATGGTCGCGGCCAACATACAACATGGGAGTGGACTGAGGACGGCAGCATCGTGTTGACGCACCGACTGCCAGCTATCCGAACCCAGCCAGGGACCAATTTCCCCACGCTCTTCACCGGTCTGGCGGCGTATTACAAGAACAACCAGCACGACGCCAACAAAGGGAGGAAGAATTCGGCACAGCAGCTTTTCGGCGACGGGACGCCCATCCCCGAGAAATATCTAGCACACTTGGCTAACATAACCGATGAGATCCGCGTGCTGCACAAGTGGGAACGTGGTGATGTTCTCGTATATGACAACATCATTGCTCAACATGGTCGACAACCGTGGGAGGGCCAGCAAGAGGATCGTGTGGTTATGGCCAGTCTTTTCGACGGACATAGTGTGCCCGGGGCCTACGGTGACGAAGACTGGGCTCAAGTGGTCCAAGCTCTTGACGGGTGATGGAGCACATCCATATATCAGCTCCCTAAGACTGGATCTTCTCCCGCAACTGTGCAAGCTACAACCTCCCCATTCGATTTAGGATAGGTAGGATGTTGAAATCCCCTGACCTTCTTGAATCTCTTGGAAGATTTCTCCATGAACAGCTCTATCTAGCTAAACTGCCTTCTTCATCAGGCGACCCAACCTCTCTCAGCAATGCTATTTATCAGAGTCATGACTACTTGTTTCCATCACGTTATAGTCCCGCAACCATTCCGTACGTTAGCACACCTTCGCCGTTCGGCTGTGCCCATCCATCGGCATTGACAATTCCCTCGCCGATTCTCACTTCCTCGACCGTCCGAAATCCCAAATGGCTGTAAACTTCCCTTGCATGCTGATTAGTCGCTTCTAGCCAGACAGGGATGTCCTGTTCTGGGGCCTTTTTGAGGAAAGGATCCACTAGATTCCGAATAGCGCCTGCACCGCCATCAAAGGGAAAGAGTCAGTCATGCTTTGATGAATCGGAGTGCCCAGCCAGCACAAACATCCCCTGTTGACCGAGCCATACCTTTTTCCAGCCTGGTGGGAGCCCGTGCAATTAGATTGAGATACCAGTAAGTCCGATCACCCAGATACTTCTTCTTGAGCGCGTCGAACTTCTGTCTGTACTCAGCAGCCCCTTCAGAAATGGGGCCGGCGCTATTCACGGGCTTCTCGACCCCAGGAGGAAGCCTATGCGTCTTTCGTAAGCAGGAAGAAGGAACAAACTCTTCGTAAACGAATGGACCAGGCGGAGGGTCTCTCCAGACTTCTCTCTTACCACAACGCCACTCCAGCCCAGTCATAGGTTTGAATCAGTATCCCCCCGCCCTCAAACCGGGATTTTATATGAGTGAGCCAGTATTGAACACGGTGGTCGAAATGCTCGAGTTTGGGGTGGTCTGGCTGTGACTCTCGACCCAAGAACAGGTATCGGTTGAGAGCATCGTTGGAGAAAGCCGCCGCAATCACATGTGCAAATTTGTGCAAGTCTTCTCCAGCACTAATTGTGTTGGGCACATGTGCTTGGGTCTCGGTTGCCATGGTATGAAGTATCACGGAGACTGAATTTCTCGGGAAAGTCTATGAGACCCAGAGAAGCAGAATTGAATTCGTTGAAGATGATTCTATGCTCGCTCCGATACAAACAATTCGGAGAACTCCGTGATGATTTTTTTTTTCTCAAGCAGCCTTACCCACGAACACTTCAACTTGTTAAGTGAAAGAACCCACCATATTACTGCTTCTTACGAATATCCATTTACAAGTCGAGTCGAACAAATTCAATTTCTCTAAAGGGGCCTTCAGACCCTCTTTTCCTTTGAGGATTTATACGACCGAGGAGAAAGCGGCTTTTTGTTACGTTATGCCGTCTTTTGGTTGGTCAAAGGGCATGCATGATGTTAATATGGTCAAGATAATGCCATAGCTTGGCTCAAAGCTTGGGGTAGGCGAAGAGATGCCTTGCTTCAACTCTTCTGTGGCCTTGGTGCTCATCCATAGTGAGCGGCATTCGTTTTAGGCGGAAGCTGGCAATGCGGGTAGGGTGACCACAATGAACGAAGCCAACGACGTGCAAGGGTGTTGTGAGGTCGGAAAATAATAATCTGGAGACGGTAATCGAAGGACTGGAACCATGCGTGAATTGTGAGAACTTAGGCCATTCTGGATACAACTACTGCTAAATGAAGACACAGTTGGTCTGGAACTGGATCGAAAACCGTTATGAACCGTGGGGATCAAAGTCTCTACGATTCTAGAAGGCCGCAAATCGCGTGATAGCACACAAAAGGAGCGAAAATGGCGCGACTTCGTCTTATAGGCAGTTTGACTTACACAAGCGAGGAATGTAGGGTGTTGCAAAGCATCTGATATCTGCAAGGGCCGAAGTGAAGACCCATTCACTCGGAACCGATGGTTGTGGAGAACATCGAACTTGGTACGATGGTGCAAGATTCCTCCAGAATCGCGATCACAACCTGAACGCTGAACAAAATCTCTGCTAAGCTCCTTGAAGACAAGAAGAACCGAAACCCACGTGGGACATTGGAAAGTGGATATGCTAGCATCAATACCTAGGTGCGTCTCTGCTATAAAGTTTCCCTCTGGTGCAAAAAAGGGTCATTACAGGATAGATTCCTCAGGATTCTCCAGGATGGCTTTCAAAGGGACATCTAGTAGCTCGAGCATCGACCATGGCACAACTACATTTGTCGTGGGACCTGAGAAGACCGTTACTGCCTTGGAAGCGAACGACGACTCGCCAGACACACGTGCCGCTAGGAGAGATGTTTCTGGGGACGTCCTCGACGACGGACTACGACGAGGTCTTAAAGGAAGACATTTTGTGATTATCGCGCTCGGCAGCATCATCGGACCAGGGACATTCTACGGGCTGGGCTACGCCATCTACTTGTCTGGCCCTCTGGGGGCGCTGCTTGGTTTCATCATTGTCGGCATGTCAAGAGCTCCTCGATTTACGCGCTCTCTGGCACAGCATGCTCATATTCTCTAGGAATTTCGGTCTGGGTGTTGATGCAAAGCGTTGGCGAGATGACCACGTTATTTCCCATCCATGGGGGATTTGTCGAAGTACGAGTGTCCGCCATGATTCTCGAACCAAAAACTAATGTGGTGCCAGCATGCTGGCCGCTTTGTTGATCCTGCCCTGAGCTTTGCGATGTCATGGTTGTATTATCTCATGTGGAGTGTCTTCCTCGCTGCAGGTATATGGCTCCCCCCCCCCCCCCCCCCCCCCCCCCCCCCCCCGGGAAACCCGGTATTCGTCGACTAACTCTGGCAAGACTGGAATTCCGCAATCTTAATTCTCCGCTACTGGGTGCCAGACTCTACAATTCCTTCCTACGCTTGGGCTCTTATCTTCTGGGCAGTGTTCTCCGTTGTCACGCTTCTCGGTGTGAATGTATATGGAGAGCTGGAGTACTTCTTCGGCATGTTCAAGTTCCTCTCCCTCATCATCCTTTTCATACTCTCCATCGTGGCCGATGTGGGTGGATTCGGCGGTGGATACATTGGATTCAGATATTGGACGAAACCAACAGGTAGGTCTGTGTGAAATTCTTCTGCCTAGTGAGCTGAAGATTTTTAGGTCCTATTATACATGGAATCGATGGATTTGGACAGGTCTTCGTTCTTGCAGCAGCTTACTACGTTGGCACGGAAATTATTTCTTTGGCTGGTGGCGAATCGAGAAATCCGAAGAAAGACATCCCAAAGGTACATTGCTTCAGGTCTACAGGCAGTTCAGTCTGACGCGTTAGAACAGGCCATCAACTCTGTCGTCTATCGCATATTGGTCGTATATATAGGCATGCCTTTTTTCCAAGGCCTTATATGTCCGTCAGATTCGCCAGAACTTCTGAACGCAGACTCGGTAGTTGCATCGTCGCCGTTTACGATTGGCTTTACCAACGCGGGTTGGAAGACATCTGGGCACTTTGTCAATGCTTTGATAACGGTGGCTTTTGTCTCCGCAGCCAACGGCGTGGTGTATGTGCAGTCACGCACAGTCTACTCCTTGGCGTTGACCGGAAGAGCACCGAAGATCTTCGCAAAGACGACATCCCGTGGAGGTATGGAAGACAGAACTTGCATCCGCTAGAGACGAGAACCTGACTTCAATAGTACCGTGGTTTGCTATATTGACCTCCAACCTCTGGGGCTTCCTATGCCTAATGAACCGGAAGCTCTCCGCAGGCCAAGTGTTTGCATATATGACAAGCGTGGGAGGCACTGCAGCTTATATTGCCTGGGCCGCCATCATATTCACCCATTTGCAGATCCGGGCCGCGGCGAAGAGACAAAACATTGATGTCAACACGTTTCCGTACAAAGCCTTTGGGAACATCTGGATCTACCGCCTCAATTTTGCGTTCAATATCTTCCTCCTCTTCATCCAAGGGTACACGGTCTTCAAACATCCCTTCAACTGGAGGTCGTTCATTGCGTGCTATATCACCATTCCGACCTTTTTCATCCTGTTTTTCGGGTTCAAGTTCTACTACAGAACTCGTTGGTACGTATGACCTGGTCACAAGATGGGAATATCACGCTAATCGCTCCAAGGGTCCGGCTTGACGAGGTTGATTTCTCGGACCGCAGAGAATGGATTGCTCCTGCGTCTACAGCATCGTATGACTCGAGATCCTGGAAGAGGAAAGTCTGGGATATGTTCAAAGACTGAAGTTGTCTTTGACTGAGGGTTCTCGCCTGGAGTTGGCTTGGAATGATCCTCTCCCACTCCACATATCTATGGAAGGGGTTTTGGTCTTCGCCAGCAAAGAGGATGATAGAATCATTCCCAGCGCTATCAAAGGCACTACTCTTCGAGAGACCGCTGCATGTAAACACTTAAAACTCTCTCGATAGAACTAGAACAACCCCCAGCTGCCTTCTCTTTTAAAAGAAAGAATTGACTGGGCATCTCCCCCTGATTACAGATTCTCTTGTACTTGATAGCCTCTCGGGCTTGGTACTGACCGAGATCCTCCCTGTTGTGGTGTCCCCCGAATGAATGACCCACACCTTTTCCAGCCCAGCGTAGTACAATCTTCTACTTTCGGCCTAGAATGAAAAGACCCATTTGAGCCCACAGTTGCACCTCGGAGATAACCTCGATTTACGGGAGGGACGGCAAGGGGTGTCTCTATTCCAAAACTTCTTTCCAGCAGCCAGAGTACAGGCCTACGCTCCCCCAGACGCCCACTGCCCTCCGGAAAAAGAAAGGAAAGCGAAGGATCCACATGATTGTCAGCGGAGGGCCTAATTAACAAGCAGCTGTCCCTTAATTGTGTGGTTGCAAGCAACCCGGTAGGTGGCTTTTGCTGGCTGTATGTACGGATCGCGGCCCGAAATTGGCCAAGATTGGACATGGATTGATTGGGTGCTTCGGCCTTGCAGCCTTGTCATGGCGAGTGGGAATTTCGGAGATGCCAGTCCGGTTCTGGGCTCTGCAGCTTTGTCATCAAACAGGCACTTCCTCTGCTATATGGAGTACTCTGAGCCCCTTCCAGGTTCTCGCAGCAATATAGGAATGGCCTATAAGCGAGGGCGAAGGCGGAAAGCTCGCAGTTACCTTCCATTTCCCACGGGCACGGGCAGTAGTAACGGGGTTGTTGGCCATGTATAAAGATTGATGGGCCCGCCAGAGATGTGCTTGAAGCAAGGCTGAGAGACAACTTCCAAATCCACTGCTCAAGACCAAAATCAGTCACTGTGCTCACCTTAATTAATACCGACAAAATGAATACCACGGGTGTGAACTACACCAGGAAGTTGGCCAGTTTCGCGGCCAATGCCACCTTTTCTGCGATCCCGTTGAGCTTCCTGGCATTACTTCCGATTTTCATCCTTGATACTTTCTCCGCCATGCTCGTCGGCTCAGTTCAGCCCGTCTACCGCTCTGCCGTTAAGGCGGTGGAAATCACGTACGGAACCGGGAGCACGCATGCCGCACACACTACGCTCGACGACACAGTCTCCTCGCTCTCCAGTCAGATGTTCTTGTTGAGCCTGGCTGCAGTCGACTTCGAATTCGAGCATGTCATTCAAAACGCGCACCCGGCTTCTGCTATGTTTCCAGCCTTGCTTTGCGTCCCGGCCGCCCACTATAAGACTGGCAAAGAGCTTCTCACGGCAATCGCGCTCGGATACGAACTCGCAACCAGAATCGGCGCAGCCAGCACTGCACAAGTAGAGTCTGTGAGAGGCTTTCATAACTCTGGGTTAAATGGAGATCTCGCCACCGCTGCTGCGGTGGGGCGCCTCATGGGATGGGACGCTGACACCATCGCATCGGCAACGGGCCTCGCTGCTTCCAGCTCGGGTGGTCTCCTCGCCTTCGTCAATACCGGCGGAATGACCAAGCGCCTGCACCCTGCTCGCGCAGGCCAACTTGGTGCTGAGGTCGCCTTTCTGGCTCATGCGGGGGTCGTCGGCCCTGCAAATGTCCTTGAGAATCCGCTAGGATTCCTCCATGCCTTCTCGCCGAGTCCACAACCCATCCTCCTAACCGCCGGATTAGGCGTGAACTGGACCGGAGAACAGATGATCCTCAAATTGGCACCTGTCCACGCACGCGCACAGGGCTTCGTGTTTGCCATCAACGACTATCGATCTCGTACCAACCAGAGTTGGAGTGCCGGCGACATCAAGAAGGTCACCATCTATGGGGGTCCGGCGGTTCTGGCGTCGAGCAATTAGATCCCTCAACCAAATTCACTTGTATCGGCCCAGTACAGCGTCCCATTCGGCATCGCCCCAGCTCTGACAGTCGACCTGCGAGACCCGCTCAACATGAACGACGCATTGGTGTCAAACACGACAGCGCAGTCAATTGCTGCGGGTATGAAACATGTCCAGATCACCGGCAACGCCGAGGATCTGGCCGGATACATGACCTTGGAGATCAAGGGCCAAGAAATCAACATCACGGCCAACGGGTATCCCGGCATTCCCGGCGATCCGGGATACGTGCAAGCGGCAAAGAACAAATTCGCAAGAGTTACTCAAGGCCTATCCGTGGGTGCCCATGGCGCTGCTGTAGAGAAGAATATCGCCGATATAGCCAACGTCACGGACGTGTCGGTGTTGTTGGGGGAAATGGTCGAGGTGGGAAGCGCAACTACGGCGAATTATGGCTTCAGCACGGACACGACCCTGGACACTTTGAAGGCGTATTACGCCGGTCAAGCGCGAAGCAGGGTCCTGCCTTGATGGAGTAACTTATGAACGACGAAGAAGGAGGGATAGATGGACTGCATGCGGACACAATGTATGGATAAAGGATGTTTTGGGCAGCATTGATCTTCCCGTATCTACAGCGGAGAACCCGTCGCGTTGGTCAGTTTGTGTCGTGCGTTGATCAGCGAGCTTTAGCGCGGATTGTTTTGAACCTATCTAGGGGTTATGAACAGTCTGCTTGACCATTGAAGAAAGAAAATCTATCTGGCGAGCGGGAGTTACAACGAGATTGTAGGTGAGATGTTGCCCTCGTGCCAAGGCCTTCTAGCCTGGCCCAGTCAGACGCGTGTCTAGACAAGGCTGATAGCCATATCGGGCTTAATAATGAGCGGTCTCTGGGCATTCGGAGACGAGGGCTCCAAGGCATACATGAAAGAATCGGGTCTCAATGTCCTGGTGCCGTAACGTGAGCATCAAGCTCCCTCAACCCACCGTATCGCAGATGGGAAATGATCACATGCTAGCCTTTCTGACAGAGGAGGAGAATAGAAGGTCAATGGATGTCAGCACTCGGAGAAGCAGCACGTCCAGGACGAGGACGGCCTGGTCGAAGTTTATTATTTCCTCGTCCAGTTGATCTCAGAAATAAAAAACCACACCGCTCACTGGTGTGGTGTTCCTCAGATGCCCCTTCATCTGGTCATTATCTTCGATTCTAGATCCTCACCATTCGATGTGGTCATGTTTAAGGGCAGTCCAATCCCTAGCGCACATAAGACACTATTGTAGTCCCGGCCCATCCATGCATGCTCTTTACAATACCAGAAATGAACAAAGCGCCCCCGCCACCAAAAGATACCGCCGCACGTCCACCGTGGCGGTGACGGCCGCATTCGTTGTCCCTGCCGTCCCGCAACAACTGGCCCGATTGTAGCTCACGCCATTTGCGTCCGCCGCGACCTGAAACACGCTCCCATTGAAGTTTCCAATGTTATAATAGTCCACCAGCAAGAAGTTCGGCGCCCGGTTCCACATCGTTGTGCAGTTATCCACCGCCCACCCGGCCGAGCCGAACCCATTCACCGCATTCGTTTCATTGAGCAGTGTAAAAAAGGGCACATCGATACTAATACCCGCAATTTCGACGTCCAGATTCAAGTTGTGATTTGCCATGTACATTCTATCCTGGCGGGTATTTCGTGCTTGATTCGGAGGTCGTTGGGGTGTGCATGGGAAATTTCTATCGGTTGGAGAGAATGGCGTTTCCCACATTTGCGAGAATTCATCGAGCAGCCATGGAATGGCAGTCTGATTGGCTTGGTAGTCGAGCATGACGACTGCTCGTTCATTTTTAAAGATCATTTCAGCTAAGGTGGGCCAAGAGTCGAGGGGCATGGGCGACGTTGGAGGAGTGTAGACAAAATCGATCAAACCAGAATTGACCACTGGTGCAGTGAAATTCTGCGGCGCGACGACGTCGTAGTTTCCCATGAGGATGGCGATGACGTCGTAAGGGTGGTTGCGAAGCCATTCCGTTACCGTCGTGAGGTAGGCTTGTAGAGTGCCGGCGTTGAGAAGTTCACAGGACGTGTGGCAGAGATACATGGTCCCATTTTGGAGATGGGCTTGGAACTGGACTGCGATGGTCTGTTAGCTTCTGAATGGTCATCCACAGGCACAGCCGACATACGCATTCGAATACCGTCGTTGAGTTGGGTCTCGACGTCCAGCATTTGATTGGAGGCGAGATTGCCCGGACGTACGAATGGGCTGTTGTGCGCTGCAATGTGAGTGATGTTGCTGAACTTCCGATTGCAAAATGAAGGATGGCCATTACATGGAACGGTATTTGTGGGTTGCGCTGAAGACGATGTGCTTGAAGCCGTTTGGTTTGTGGTTGCCGTCCCGTTCAGGGTAGTGGTTGTTTTGGAAGTCCCCACCAATACAGTTTCGGTGGCAGACGATGTCGTTGTGGCATTATTAGGGCCGGTGCTCGAGGACGCTGTCGTGCTGTTTGGGGTTGCAAATATACTCGAAAGGTCTGTAACCGTAGCATAGTCTGTGGTTGCGGTGATAGTCAACGTGTTGGATTCGTCAGCATATGTGGTTCCACTGGTGGCATAATCTGCGCCGGTTGATGTCGCCGGTTCAGTCGTCTCGGTTGATCCGCTCAACGTGACAACATCAGACTGAGAGTAGGCTTTCAGAAGGAGGCCAGCGAGCACGAGAGAGGATATCAATCGCATGGTACCAACAAACCAAGCGGAAACCGGAGATACAAATCGCTGTTGACACGACACGGTAGCGGTTCAAGGAGCATGAAGAGAGAGGGACATTGAACGTGGCGACGGGGGAGAAAGTAGACAGCGAGGATGGCGAGATGGATACGGCTTCACGTGATCTATTCCATGCAGGAAGCAGCGAGCAGGTTGTACTGGGTATCGAATGGCGCCTTGATGACGCGCGTTGTTGTCTTGGATCGGAGAAATGTCACCGGGGGCTTCAATGTGAGGTTGTGTCATGACGAGGCGGATCCATCAGCATCAGCCCTACCCAGCACCATCCTTATCGTAGGTGCGTTCCTCGTCTCTCATTGAATGTTCTGTTGATTTGATGTCCTCGTCCCAAAAGACGTGGTTTGTGTTCATTGGCGGTGCTTCTTTCAAGCTCAAGTTTTTTGACATCAACCTGTGATGAGAAAACAAGGTTGTTGCCCTGCCGCCATTCGTTTCGACCTTACCCACTGCGTCTTTCCTAAAATGGAAATGATACGTGTATGGCAGACCATGCAAACGTGTCAACAATGCCAAGACCGAAGCTCGTGGTGCTCAACCACCAAGCCACCTACGCTGCCAGACGGCTTCAATCCCTGATGGTGCCACTTATTGCAGTTATCAAACTTCATGGCAACACCGAGACCTCAGCAACTTGAACTACTTGGTGTATGCAGAGACTGTAGTGGGTATTATTGATTGGGAAACTGCTGGCTGGCGGCCACCATACTAAGAGCTCCAGTGCATCCTTCAGCCAGTTAACGCAATTCCACTCCTTGGTCCCATCCTTCACTGGTGCTCGGCGCAAGACCGTATCAAGGCGAGCCGAGTTCTCGACCTTGCCTATCAAGACTCGCACTAACAGCGTCCTTGTCGGTTGAAGAGACACAAGCCTCTTATCGAACCTTCAATGTATACCATGAGAAGTGACTTTGTTCTTTCGCATAGTATCGTAGACCGACCTTCCCTGGCTTGTTCGACTTGGGGACCGACCAGGAAAGCCCAGTGATGGCTGTGGTCGAGACAGCGCCAGTCCGAATGACAGCACACGCTGATCCGTGTTCAACCAAAATGGGTTCCAAGCGTATCATTTAGCACGGGACAAGGCTGATACCCAATGTCGTGATGTCATTGTGGAGTCCGAGATCCACCCTCCGGACCTCCTGCTCCGCTCTTGCATCCCAAGCCACACTCAATCACATTGCACCAAGGGCCTGCTGCGGGTGTACGTACTGGGTACCTACAGTGAGCGCCAGGCCAAAGATCCCTGGGGCTGTTTTGCTGGCCCTCTTGGCACCCATGTTTTGTCAATATCATCTCCCAGTTCTCTCCTCTGCTTGAGACAGGGAGACAGTGCGACTAGAGATGAGCCGAAGCGACTGATGAAGAGGCCTGCAAATCCGCTATCCAATCCTCGAGCAACAACATGGCCATCTTCAGACGCTCCAAATCCGACAAGCCCGTCCCCCAAGACCCTCCATCTGACAAAGTTCCCTTGGGCTACAGAAAATCCAAACCGACAATCCTCCGCACATTCACCGTAACAGTCTATCTTCTTGCCACCATATTCCTCATCCTGGTGGAGATAGGTAACATCAACAACAAAGCCGTAATCCGGTCGACCTACTTCCTCAAAATCGAACTGGCAAACATCATCCCCGCATCGGTACCCAATGCAGTCTTCATCAACAGCATTGCCCAGTCCATCGGCCTGCATGACTTCTACCAAGTCGGCCTGTGGGATTTCTGCGAAGGATACAATGGCGAGGGAGTCACGCATTGCTCCCCGACCAAGACCTTGTACTGGTTCAACCCCGTCCAAATCATCCTGGACGAGCTTCTGGCGGGGGCATCCATCACCCTCCCCGCCGAGGTCGTCACTGTCCTCGACCTCGTCCGACTGGCATCCGCGTGGATGTTCTCCTGCTTCCTCATCGGCACGTGCCTGACATTCCTCTGCGTTTTCGTCTCTCCCATGGGGTTCTCGCGGAAGCCGCGGTGGCAGCACAAGACGAGACGTATTTTCCTGCGCCAGTTCCCGGTCTCCTTGCTGACCCTGGCTGCGCTGCTGTTCACTGCAGTGGCGTCTCTGATCGCGACCATCATGTTCGTCATTTTCCGCGACAAGTTTTCCGGAGCCGCAGACTTGAACATCCACGCACACCTGGGGAAGCCAATGTTCGCCTTCATGTGGATTGCTACGGGCCTGGATTTGATCGGGTTTCTCGTGCAGCTGGGCACATGTTGTGGGGTCTGTTTCTGTACGGGGAGGAAGAGGGCAGTCCGACGGAGTCGACTCAACACGGCTGGCCACGCAAGAGCTGATGATACCGAGAAGACGCTGCGGGAAGTCGACAACACTCCCAGGACAGATGGTTCTTCCGGTGGCATCCTTGGCTTTAGGAGAGGGGAGCGAAGCTGAGCTGGACCATTCACTTCGCTGCTTCTTCTAGGTCATGCCGGAGTAGCTTACTCTACAGTCGGAAGCGAGCAGAAACCAAGCTCGGCGTAGAAGATCCTGCATAGAAGGGTTCAAGCAATGATATACCGTGGGCGTCAGCTTTAAGTTTTCCTTTTCTCGAATCAAAAAAGTCGTCCTGACTGCGATCATTGAATGCATTGTCCTTGCTGGTGATACAATTAGATTTTTGATCCATTTTCGTCCTCCGCTCGGACAGAGCGCCCCTTTCCAGATTCCTCATTTTCAGATTGCCTCAAGTCGCAGACCTCGGGTAGGTCCTGCCCATTCCCCCATGACCCAACCCCCTGGCCGCGCTCCCTGCTATTACCGCACATTCCAACTCTGCCTTTTTCAAAAGGCGACCCACTCCTGTATCCAGACCAGTCCACCGCTCCCGCTCTCCTGCCATCTATTCTCGCCGGTCCACAACCCCGTTCCTCGCAACTTGCCCTCCCTTCCCTCCCTGTCGGCATGGCAATACCTCAACAGGACCCTTCTCTCGTCCAGGAAGAACGTGATATCCACCCACTTGGGTTCCAATTCATCCGCAACAGCCCCGCACTTGACCACCGCATGTTCTTCGATACTCGATATCTTTTCGGCGATGGAATATACCCCCAAAGTGTCCCAGACGCGGGATTGGATTTCCGACTTGTTAAGCAGGGAAGTCACCTGATGACGCACCTTTGTAGATCGACAATGTGTGGCCCCTACATAGAGTGGAGGTCCGATCCCGCTGTCCATGCTCATCGAATGTTCATCATACGCGAAGAAGGATGAACGGTTCAAGATGCTCTCGCTAAGGACCAACAAGCGGGCAAAATGGGCGTTCAAGGCCTCTTTGCGCTCCGCGTAGTTGCGGCAGGACTTGTGGCAGTCGCAAGTTTCGGGCGGGTCACACAGCGGCACGATCACTTCACCCGTGTCAGGGGAGTGGAAAGCCATTTGAGCAAGCAATAAGAGGTACGCGGTTTCGCGATACGCCTTAAGAAGCTGAGCCGGGTGGCGGTCCTCCGGGTTACTCCGACATTTTTCGCTCTTGCTGTATTCTGCGAAGGCCATACTCCACTGCAATAAACGGCAGATGTGCGTCTGGTGACGCTGAAATCCTGTACCTATCAGCAAGCCCTGCTCGAGAAGGGTCCACGAGTGCCAGATCCATTTTACTTCCGTGAAGAGCTCGTCGCGGGCCTCAGAGAGTGAACCGAATGCGCGAGGGATGATGTGGGGATTTGGATCGGGGAAGGACGCAGTCTCCTGTTCAGTTGGGGAAAAGGGACTCAGATAGGGGGCAGGCATTGACTCTTCCGGGTCGCTCAGCATTTTGGCCGCCCCTCCAAATAGGCGGACAGATTCAAGCTCTAGTCTCAGGAATAGGCGTCGCAGACTGTCGTGGCCTATCTCCACGGCGCGATATTGCGTATCTTTGTAAGTTGTGTGCATCTTTCGACTCAGCAGACCCTTCAGAGCGGCAGTCATATGCATTTGCGCGGTATCGTAATTGCCCTGGAAGGTCTCAAAAATGCTGAATAGTTTCATCACGATCATGTTGATCTCGGCCGCATTCGGGTGGGAAGCCATATCATCCGACAACTTTCGAAGCGCCTTGTGGTACAATTTGTCTGCAATATCACAATACTCAAATGCCTCGCGAGAAATCCCCAGCTCGAACCTTCGATGCACAGCACCCACAGCAGCAGCGGCAGCAAGCACCGTGGGATGTTGGTGGCATGCTCGCAGGATATATGTCCGCCAGATCGAGCTGTCGAAGTATGCGGCGAATTCGGGCCCGGTGCGCGAACGGAAGAAGTCGAAACAGAAAAAGTCATGGTCCGACTCAAACATGACGTTCGATGGCGACCGGCAGAGTTTGTCGTTGGTAGGTTTGATTTTGGACCCGCTGATGGCAGGGATGGCAACTTTGTCTGTGCTCGTCTTCTGTCGTTTCGAGTCGGGCTCGATGTACTGAGGTGAAGACTCCTCCGACGTTGAATGTTGATCAGGGGATTGACTGACATAGCCGTCGCATTTGCGACCAGTGCTTGTACAACGTCGACAGAAGGGTTTCTCCTCATCACACTTCTTTCGCCGGATTTTGCACGTTATGCATCCAGTTCTGACCTTATGATGCGTTTTGCGAGTCCTCTTGGGCTTCTCCATCACGGGGAGGTCTTCGATTAATGCGATGGTTGTCATTTCGCCAAGGTCCCCAGGATTGAACGGTTAACTTGAAAACCGGGAGAAGAGACCATTGTATACCTTCAAAAGCGGGGCATGGCGATATATGTAGAGCCGCCAGAGGCAGTTCCTTACCGAATACGTGCCATGGCCTTTGCTAATGCACTATGCATGCAGAGAAGAGCTTGCCTCTTGAAAGCAGCCCGAGTTCCTGGCTAATGAAAGATGCTGGTCGATGATTGGTTTGAGCGTAAATTTTTCGACTCGTTATGCTGGACAGACTCCGGTTGCTGACATTGGAGTCCAGGCAGCAACGTCGCTGGGATCCATCAGATTGGCTCCTCAATGCCACAGGTACCCTGGCAAGCCTAGCCCGGTGGTAACCGGGGAGGTGTGGCTGCTCCGGCCCAGGCATTGCTTCATCTGAGGCAGCTTTGAAATACCGGATTTGCCAATTCCAGAGCAACGGAGGTGGTCATTCTCCATTGCAGGTGGACGAATGCAAAAGCCTAGCTGCCTAGCTGGGTGAAAATGGGAAGATATTGTTCTCGCTCACTGTCCACCACCTAAGAAGTGATCCTGCCCACCACGTGAAGGCGTGCCTGGGCCATTGTTCGCTGTCAGGTGAGCAGGACTGGAAAATGCGGAGGTGAAACATTGCCAAAGTGTGACATGAGCGAGACCCTGGCGAAGATTGTGTTTCCAGACACTGGTAAAGCTGACTGAACGGGGTAGTTGGGGGGATGGGCAAGGGGGCTGCTGGTTTGAACAGGTGACAGGTGGTGAGCGGCGCAGGACAACAATGTCGGTGTCGGCGTCGGTGTCGGAAGCACGCAGCTGCGGAGGCCGTTCCAAGGGGTCAAGGTACCCATCGCAGGTGGAAAAAGTGCCCCGCGAATTCTGGCACATAAACATTGACGCTCACGCCGCAGCACAATACTCACTACCAGCTACCAACTCCTCCTACCCGTGACTCAAGTTCAGCTTTCACAGACCCTTTCGGGCTTCTCTCTGCCCTCGATCCTCAAATACTCTAGTCACTCGTCATGACTCCTTCCAACAACATCGCCTATACCGCCCCCATCAACCCTCCCTCGGCCTCCCCCAAACTCACTCTCCCGCAAATCTGGCAAGGTCTCGAGCTGAAGATCCGCGCCGGACAGGACTTTGTCGGCGGTGCTCTCCTCTCCACGGACGTCATCTCCGAGTCAAAGGATGACCAGGGCCGTCCCGTCACGGTGCGCGAGGTTGTCTTCCGAGACGGGAACAGGAGAGTGCGCGAGACCTGTGTGGCTTACAAGGCGATGAAGGTCGAGTTCCACCAGCCCGATGGCTCCAAGGTGCAAAACATCGTCTCCCAGGGGCAGGGGGCAGAAGGCGAGGATCTGTACATGACCTACACGTTTGAGTGGCTGCATCCCGAGTGCGAAGGTGATGTCAAGGCACTGGAAGAGAAGAAGCAGAAGGAGACCAAGATAGCCAAGATGGCAGTCGAGGAAACCATAAGGGTCATGAGAGAGATGGTCAAGGACGGCAGGATCAAATAGGCAGGACACCTGAGGGAGGGAACGATCCGCACAGACGAATATCCTACAGAAAGACGGCACGGTAAGGGTCATACTCGGGGTGCAGGACGCCACCACTGGTCTCATGGGTGGGCAGAGGATGCAAGCCATCGGCCTTTGCAGGTATTTCCAAAGAGGCCTGTCTATGAACACTAGCCACAGACACCAATGCGGTCCCGCCAGAGTCCTTCAGATTGCTCATCTCTTTCAATATCAAAATACAGCATGCTCATAAAGATCCCAAACTCCCACAGGGACTTACACCAAAGTCTGGCCCATATCCCTCCCCCCATTGTTTTCGTCTTCCAGTAATGCTCAGATTGGCAAACCAACAAAGCCAGAGTGCTGTCTTGGAATTGCCCACAGTGCGTCCCAAGCTACCTCTTGTTGAAACTTTGGATCGTGGCGTGAGTGTTGTCCTTGCCATAGTCGTTCCGCTGCGGCGACCCGTGCGGCTCTGAAGATATTCTTCTTCGCCGCCCTTGATCAACAGGACCCAACAGCCACTTGTGCGCCATTTCAATAAGATACCAGCCCTTCATACAACATACACTAGATGAATAAAAGGGGCATCATTCCGAGACCCACACACAAAACCAATGTGCCAGCGGTTGCAGCTGCAATCCTTAGGCTGTCCAGGAGACCGATATCGGTCGTGATGATGCTTATCCAGACATATCGAACCAGCAAGACGAAGAGCATCATGAACTGCACAAAAGTCCAGCCCAGCACCTCGTCAGACTGCATCCGTCGCTCGTTGGACGCCTTGATAGCCATGCGGATCAGCATCGCAGCATTTGAGGTGAAGTAGAGAAGGAAGAAGAACTTTTTAGCCCCTTCTTCTAGGGTGGCTTGAATTCTTTTCTGCAACCGAGTTCTCTGCGCTCGACGTTGGTCGTCTCTGTCGATCCGGAAGCGATCAGAGTGGACCGTCCTCGCTAAGCCGCCGGCTCCAACAATCTGACTGACAGAACACAAGTGGGAAGGACTAATCTGCGGATGGAGAAGTGAGCAATCTTGATGATGCTAACAACCATCTGCTCTTCTTACCAAAGTCATCTGGGATACCGAGCGTGATGAAACCTCTTCCTGTCCGGACTCCAAACCGGGACGCATGTTATTCAGCGGAATGCCGTCCACCTCGCAACTCCCATTCAGACGTCGACCACGGGAAGGTGGCGAGTACCCCGGCGGTGCGTCGTCCATCTTGAGAGCTGGACGGAAATACTGGGTTCGAGTGACTGTGCGACTGGTGAGGCGAACAGCGCCCTGGTATCAACCAAGGGGGGATGTGACGACAGCGAGATGGCGACTGTGGTGCTAAAACGTAAAGTGGACGGTAACAAGTTGCCAAACAGTTAAGAAGCTTCTACTATGCACAATATCGAATACTTGGATGTCACAAATCAATGCTTCTGTCTGGAGTCGAAGAGGACTTGGGTCGGACAGTCGTAGTGTTTAAAGATGCAGCCCGCGGGCAGCACCAAGGTGTCTGTTTCCTCGGAAGGTTCGCTCCGATTGAAGGGCAGTAGCTGAGCAAGATGCCAGCTCGGCTAGCAGAGAGGGACTGACCCGTTCGGGAAGGCGTGGTTTGAATCAAGTTTCCACAAGGGAAACAGCGATTCTTGGAGACCAGCACAAATAGCAACTCGATTCGACAACTCCTTGCTGCTAAAGTTATGTACACAGATTTCCAATCCGGGAATACCAGTGTTGGTACAGGCCATGACATCGTAAGTTCATTGAGCACATAAGACGTGTGTGAAGCATCTGCAGGAAATATCGGCGATCTTCTTCATCGATTGGGATAGTCGATCACGCCCAGACTTCTTCGCATATCCGCCAGACGGTCCGAGACTGGAAGGGGCAGATGAGGTGGTTCTCCTCCATGACCTTCTTTCTCGAGATCGTGGTCTCGGACTTTCTTCCGGCCACCAGACGCAATAGTAAAGTCCTTTAAGCTCGGAAGCTTAGAGATCTTCTTGCCCCCTTTCCCGATAGATTCCCTCTCGTTCGTTTGTAAGTGAGTGATGGAGTCCTGCCGCAACCGTCTCATAGGGCTGCTCCTTGGACTGTCATCCAAATTTTGCATGGTCTGGAACTGGAGGGGATTCGTGTTCAAAGCGTCGGAGAATTCCATTTGATCATCCGCTTCCTTGGAGTCGTTGGGATCGCCGACAAGGGCAAAGCTATGCCTCCTTAATTCTTCCTTTCGCATTCGCCTGATGCCAAGACGCTTCAGTTCGGTCTTGAAATCGTCGAGCATGATCGTATCGGTGAGACACTTGAATACAAGGCTCAGTTTCCACCACGGATTGATCCTGTCCATCCCTTGGTCAGCGCCGGACCACAATCGCGCTTGGGAGAACACATACCCGTCAGTACTGCCAGTGAAATTGTGAATACTTGCCGCAATGTCGACCGCCGTGAAGATGAGGGAGAAACAGATGGCGCAGAGCAGAATGCCAAACCGAGGAGATCGCTTGATCAATTCAAAGACACCCGTCCCGTACACGGAATTGATGACATAAAACAGAGTCAGGCACGTAAACACCCACCATGGATCCCTCATGAGCGGCTCGTAAGGCCGGACCTTGACGTAAAAGTCGTTGATGTTGTTGAAAAACCGAAAATTGTTCGAGATCTGCCAGCAGATGAAAGGCACCGTGAGTGCCAAAGTCCCCAGGTATATTCTCCGCACCCACTTGCCGGTTTCGGGTTTGAACATGCTTCTGGAATCCATGAAGAAAGGCTTGATTTTCATCCAGGCGACAACGTTGTGGACGATCCAAGAGATATACAAGAGGGTGGCGGTCGACGACAAGTACCAGCCGTAGCCCGTAAATCCCATGAAGCAGAATGTTCCTGTGTGAAAGATTAACCCGGTGGCCACCAAATACTTGGCTTGAGGGGAGGGGAATTGGGTCATGCTCACCATGCGAGAGTGCTGCAAGTTGCTGGGGCGGAGTTGATGTGTCAGCTTTGCATACCCCTGGTTGCTTTTCTTTTCTGCACACAAGCATGGTCGACATACCTCGACTAAAATCAGTTTGTGCAAAAGAACACCCCTCCTCATATTTGCAACGGTGATGCATGCCATAATGACGAGCGCGCCGACCATGAATCCTTCCGACCATCCTTCCAAAATGAAGTCCTCGTCTGAAGCGAACGCCCGCCAATCACCCTCTCCCGTACCAACTGATCCGCTCTCATTGCGCCGGGATAAGATCAATTTTGGAGCCATTTGAGCTATCGAGTCAAAGACGGGGGTCGCTCATATCTCGGCCATGAGACATTGAGGGTAATGCTAAGAGGTGTATGAGGGAGAATGTTGGATTTGCAAGAGCAATTTCTTCGCAGCAGCGGTGAGGCCTTTCCGCCGCAAAATCAGGTCGCTGTACGACGCTGTCTTGGACTGGTTGGCCGAAAAGGCAGTTCGTGGAACGTTGAGCGTGGTAAATGTCGCCTGGTCGAGTCGCAAGGTGTGAATATCGAGGGCAGCACAGTTCGCGATGACCAGTAGCAGCAACAGAGGCTGGCTGAGACGAGTCGGGAGCGGACAGGCTCAAAGACAGATGGGACAGGCGAAATGTGAGAGGAGACTGCGAGTGATCGGTGAGGAGGTCGGCAACCCGATCGCAACGCTAATAGCGACAACAACAGCGAACGCGACAGCGACAATGAGAGTGAGCGCTGGAGAAGAGCACGTCGGGACTCAGCTGCGCCCCAGGGCCATATGAGCGACGGCCCAGTGGAATGGAATGGGCTAAACGCCGCATATCGGAAAGGTTTAGAGCTGATGTTGGACGATGGACCATGAGATCGTCGGGTCACAATGCATAAATGGGGTTTGCAGGCAACCTCGAATCAGTGAAGGCGATGGACTGGGCAGACTGGGGTAGTGGACTGCCTTGTGCTCAGCGGTGGGTGACCATTCTGCAGTTCGTTGGCGACGGTGGGGAGTCGGACAGCGGGCGAGTGGCCCGTGATGGGTGACGGTGGTTACGGGGGGTCTTCAGGCGTTGCTAAAAGTCGCCATGCCCGCCTGACAAATGGTATGGGGGAATGTGCGGTCGGAGCAGACGCCCAGTACTGGGTAGCCTCCCTAGTACCTAGTAGGTAGGTAGGTAGGCTCCCAGAGGCTATTTACTGGTGGTCGGGTTAGTTAAAGCCCTGCTCAATTAAAGCCCCAAAGCCCCGCAAAGTCGTTGCCCCGGCCCCGGGAGAGCCGCTAGCTGGATAGGGGTAGTGGAAGCCATGACGCACGAGGTGACGCAGCCCCAGCTCACCAGCTTACCACCCGCTCACCACTTCACCAGCTCACAGGCACAAGGTGATGACTCGTGCTCCGTACCAGGGCACCGCCGACAAAAGGTACGAACATTGGAGAAACGGGAATCATGATGCAAAGAACCCGGGAATACCACCCACCCTGCCATTTGCGAGCGAGCCTGTCAACCAACTGTCTGCCCCATCATCAATACAGTCGTGTGGTGCTTGTTCGAGGTGAGGCAGACTCAATCCCCCCTCATTTTTGCGCTCACCACCTCACTCGTAGGCTCTCTACGAGCCGCTCTGCCTTGCCGGCTCCGCGTGGCAATCTTAAGCTCACTAATAGCATTCTTGCGTTGACCCGAGTACGTCGAAGGCAGCTTTGGGGCCACGAATCAAAAAGGAGACTCCCCAGCGAGGGAGGAAAAAAAATATATGAATGAATTTAGAACCTTGAGGAATACAAAGCCCGGTCGATGTGGAGAGAAGAAAACTGCCTTGCGCCTTGTTCCGGCCCATCATGTTCGATCAACAAAACCCCAATGCATGCAGCGCAGGTGAGGAGAAAAGCCGATGGTCGGCAAAGTTACATTCTCAATAATGCATAGTCATCCAAGTCATAACGTGCCTCTTTGTTTTCACATCCTTTACTTCTCAAAAAGGGCGACCTTGGTACCCACACCGCTGGCGAGCGTCACCGTCAACCACTCGCGCCACTCCCGATCGTCTCGGCTCTCGATCCTCGGGAATGTCTGGATCAGTCTGATGGTTGCATACGATGCTTCCATCAAGGCATACTGCTGGCCCACACAGATGCGAGGCCCTCCGTTGAACGGCAGGTATTCCCAGCCTGGTCTCAAGGACTCCCATCGCTCCGGCTTGAATTCTAGCGCATCAGACCCATAGAAATCCTCACGTCGGTGCACTGGCTCAATTGTCAGTATCTTTGCAGGTCAGGGGGTTTCATGTGGGAGAAGACTTACTTGACCAAGGCGAATATGCCACCACTTGCCCCTTCCTCACCAGCACAGGCGCCTTGCCGTCCACGCCTCCACCAAGGGGCAGGATGGTGTCGCGGATAGCTTCGCGACTGTTGCCGGGTACGACCGGCATCAGCCGGAGTGACTCGTTCAACGTCCATTTCAGGTATTTCATTTCCTTGATCGTAGTGTAGTCTGGCTTCTCGCCGCCGAGTCCATCCACCTCGGCCTTCAACTTGGCCCAAACGTCCGGTCGCTTCGACAGCACATGCCAGGTGTTGGACAATAAGCCCGCCGTGGTGTCGCGACCCGCGAGCAGGATGTTCAGCAATTCCGAACGAAGGGCGTAGGGATCTTGGGTCTGGTTGAGCAAGGCGTGAAGGAAGACGTAGCGACTTTTAGGGTCCCGCTTCCCGGACCGCAACTCCTCCATGGCTTCCTGGATGATCCCGTCCGCAAAGTCGTGGATAATCTTGACGCTCTTGCGCCACTTTGCATCTGGGATATAGTCGATCAGACCTCCGGTCCGGAAATTCTTTCCACAGGCTGCCAAAGAAATCATGCGTTAGCCAACTTTCACCAGGGATTGGCCAACACACGCACCTTCCGTAACATAGACAAAAGCCTTGACAAACTCATTGGATGACTTGGTCTCCAAGCCCGGGGCCAGGGTGTTGGTCGATCTGCCAAACAAGAACTCGGTCGCAGAATCCATGGTCAAGCCAAAAAACAAATCTTGCAAGTCGACGGTCGATCCATCACGAGGGACAGAGTCAATAAGATGGGAGACGTGCGCTTCAAACATTTCGAGGTCGGCCACCTGCTGACGGGTGAAGTTGGGTCTTACCATGGCACGAGATCTCTCCCAGGCCGCGCCATCGTTGGCGAAGATGCCATGGCCGAAGATGGGGAGGAAGACCTGTCTCCTTCTCTTGCCCAGGGAGTAGTCCTGGA